ATGAGACAGATTCCCTGAGTTATTTTTAAGTGACTTTACAATCTCGGTGACTTCCGTGGGCTCAGTTGGTGCAAGATAGAAGGAATTTGGGAAATTCCCATCTAGGTAGTCCCCGGCATGGGCATTGGTATGTGGGATTTTATTGGCGAGATTAGATCCTATGGTTGAGAAGAAGTCGTTTATCTTGTTAGCTGTATCAGTGGGATGTAGTGGTGTTTCATTAGGTTTAGTTAGGACAATATTCTTGTTTTTTTTCAGTTTGTGGGTCCCTAGAATCTGAGTGTGTGTTTTCCAGGTCTTTTTTATATCTCCTCTAGTGTCTGTGAATCTACTGGAGTAGTATAGTTGTTTGGCTTTCTTTATTACTTTGGTGAGAACTGATGAATAGTGTTTAAGAACATCTTTGTGTATTAAGCCCTGTCTATATTGTTTTTCATATAGGTGTTTCTTGTCAATGGATTTCAGAATGGTGCTGGTTAGCCATGGGCAACCAAGCCGTTTGTTTGTGATCTGTTTCGTTTTTATAGGACAATGTTTGTTAAATTAGACGCATATGCAACTCTTGAGTATCTTTATTGAGGAAACGTTTCGCCACACAGTGGCTTCATCAGTCCATACGTAGGAGAAACTTGAAGAACAGGAGGAGAATGAGGTAATCAGTCCCTCAACCTTGAGTCGATGTGTTCAGTCCATCAATCTTGAATAGAATACGGCATATCAGCGGAGAAGCAGCTTATAAACCATATGGCAGGAGAGGTGCAGCAGTCATAGGTCGTGTCACATTTGTTCAATGTGGAAGTAGGTCGTGCCCAAGAATTAGGCAAGCGAAGAATTCCTAAGTATTAAGATCCCAAGAAGTTGCAGCATCTGACAGATTTGTAGATGAATGGTTCAGAGAACCGACATGTTGATAAATTAGACGCATATGCAACTCTTGGGTATCTTTATTGAGGAAACGTTTCGCCACACAGTGGCTTCATCAGTCCATACGTAGGAGAAACTTGAAGAACAGGAGGAGAATGAGGTAATCAGTCCCTCAACCTTGAGTCGATGTGTTCAGTCCATCAATCTTGAATAGAATACGGCATATCAGCGGAGAAGCAGCTTATAAACCGTATGGCAGGAGAGGTGCAGCAGTCATAGGTCGTGTCACATTTGTTCAATGTGGAAGTAGGTCGTGCCCAAGAATTAGGCAAGCGAAGAATTCCTAAGTATTAAGATCCCAAGAAGTTGCAGCGTCTGACAGATTTGTAGATGAATGGTTCAGAGAACCGACATGTTGATAAATTTAGACACATATGCAACTCTTGGGTATCTTTATTGAGGAAACGTTTCGCCACACAGTGGCTTCATCAGTCCATACGTAGGAGAAACTTGAAGAACAGGAGGAGAATGAGGTAATCAGTCCCTCAACCTTGAGTCGATGTGTTCAGTCCATCAATCCTCCTGTTCAAGTTTCTCCTACGTATGGACTGATGAAGCCACTGTGTGGCGAAACGTTCCTCAATAAAGATACCAAGAGTTGCATATGCGTCTAATTTATCAACATGTGGGTTTTCTCTGAACCATTCATCTACAAATCTGTCAGACGCTGCAACTTTTTGGGGATCTTAATACTTAGGAATTCTTCGCTTGCCTAATTCTTGGGCACAAACCTACTTCCACATTGAACAAATGTGACATGACCTATGACTGCTGCACCTCTCCTGCCATACGGTTTATAAGCTGCTTCTCCGCTGATATGCCGTATTCTATTCAAGATTGATGGACTGAACACACCGACTCAAGGTTGAGGGACTGATTACCTCATTCTCCTCCTGTTCTTCAAGTTTCTCCTACGTATGGACTGATGAAGCCACTGTGTGGTGAAACGTTTCCTCAATAAAGATACCCAAGAGTTGCATATGCGTCTAATTTATCAACATGTCGGTTCTCTGAACCATTCATCTACAGGACAATGTTTGTTGTATAGTCTAAGTAATTTGTTAAGAAAAATGTCTGTCCAGTCATCAATACCATTGGCCTTGGAGAATTCTGTAGGCCAGTCAACAGTCTCTAGGTCAGCTGTGAACTTCCTTATTGAGGCCTCGTCATGGAGTCTAAATGAGACTTTGTTGTATTCAAGTGGTGGTTTACTAATGTTTGTCAGGAGGAAGGTAGGGTAGTGGTCTGTAGTGCTATCTGTGATTATCTCTGATTTAAGGGGGGCTAGTATATTGGTCCATTATGTGGTTTATTATGGTTGCACTTGTCTCAGTGAGCCTGGTTGGTTTAGTTGTTGTTGGTATGAGAATGTGTTTTTTTCATATTGTTGATGAAATCAGTTACAGGCTGATCATCTAGTATGCCAAGGTTGATGTTGAAGTCTCCAGCTAAGAGAAGGTGGTGCTTATTCATTTGTCTGTTTGTTATTAGTGACTTTAATTTCTCACTGAAATTTGGGATGTTTGTGTGAGGTATCCGGTAAATGGCACCGATTGTTATAGGTGTCTTAAGGTTTTTTACAGTAAAATTAGCAAAGATGTATTCTGCATATTCATCACTAAAGCAAGTGGTGCTAATAGATTGCAATACCACCCCAACTTGGTTTGGTCTGCAGTTGTGAATTGCTGTGTATCCTGGGCTGCAGGAGAGGAGTGGTATTAGGAGGCAAAAACTTGACCTTAATGAAGCTCATTTCCGCAGAAAGTCGCTCTGCCACATCTGAAGGATGACCAGGAGCACTGTCTAATGCCAGGAGGCACTTAAGGTCTAATTTCTTTTCAATTAGATAATTTTCCACAGTGGGGGCAAATGCATGGTGTAACCAGTCATAGAAAAAGTCCCTAGTGACCCATGCCTTACTGTTTGCCCTCCACAGCACACACAAATTAGCCTTGAGGACATTGTTTTTCCTGAACACTCTGGGAGTTTCAGAGTGATACACCAATAAAGGCTTCACTTTGCAATCACCACTAGCATTAGCACACATCAACAGAGAAAGCCTGTCTTTCATAGGCTTATGTCCTGGGAGTGCCTTTTCCTCCTGAGTAATGTAGGTCCTGCTTGGCATTTTCTTCCAAAACAGGCCTGTTTCGTCACAATTAAACACTTGTTCAGGTTTTAGTCCTTCACTGCCTATGTACTCCTTGAATTCCTGCACATATTTTTCAGCCGCTTTGTGGTCCGAACTGGCAGCCTCACCATACCTTATCACACTATGTATGCCACGGTGGCCCAGTGGCCTGGTGGCTAAAGCTCCCGCTTCACACACGGAGGGCCCGGGTTCGATTCCCGGCGGGTGGAAACATTTCGACACGTTTCCTTACACCTGTTGTCCTGTTCACCTAGCAGCAAATAGGTACCTGGGTGTTAGTCAACTGGTGTGGGTCACATCCTGGGGGACAAGATTAAGGACCCCAATGGAAATAAGTTAGACAGTCCTCGATGACGCACTGACTTTCTTGGGTTATCCTGGGTGGCTAACCCTCCGGGGTTAAAAATCCTTACGAAATCTTATCTTATCTTATCCTATCTTACGATTCTTAAATCTCTCAAACCAACCTTTGCTGGCTTTAAATTCACTCACATCACCAATAGTTGCAGGCATCTTTCTAATTAAATCCTCACGCAACTTCCTAGCCTTTTCACATATGATGACTTGAGAGATGCTATCTCCTGCTATCTGTTTTTTGTTTATCCACACCAATAACAGTCTCTCAACATCTTCTATCACTTGCGATCTCTGTTTCGAAAACAAAGTTGCACCTTTGGCAAGAACAGCTTCCTTGATTGCCGTTTTCTTGGCCACAATAGTAGCGATGGTTGATTGGGGTTTTGTGTACAACCTGGCCAGCTCGGAGACACGCACCCCACTTTCATACTTAGCAATGATCTCTTTCTTCATATCCATAGTAATTCTCACCCTTTTTCCTGTAGGGCTGGCACTAGAAGCTTTCTTGGGGCCCATGGTGACTTATTTTGCAGGTGCAATCACTAAAAAGACTGTGATAATATGAAATGATCCGACTGTATGCTTGGAAGCGACCGTGGTGGCTGGCTTGTAAACACTGGCACCCACGGAACAAATGAGGCGGGCTCAGGCCGCACGTGGACGCGTCTCGAACGAATCACGTTGAGCGAGTTTTTTAGCGCTAGCCGAGGCAAAATTTTTGCGTTAAAATGTATCACTTGGCGAATTTAACGTTATGCGATGAGTTCGTTAGGCGAGGGTCCACTGTACTGTGAATGCAGATGGACTCTGGAATATGAGCAGACCTGAACCAAAAAAGGAAAAACTATAGGAATACATATTACATACGCAATGGAAAGTTAAAAACAGTATACATATGCTGAATGTAAGTTAAAATCATGAAACGTTCGTTTACCATCTTACTTGATCCATTAGACAGGAAGAAGAGAAAAAAAGGAATTCTGACAGAATGGAAAACATATATAAAGTTCAGTTTCACACATCTGATGGTATGCTGTCTGCTTACCTCTCTACATGCCACACTCAGATGACAGAATAGAGTAACGTCTCCACATGGTTGCTGTCTGCTTACCTACTACATGCCACACTCACATGACAGAATAGCAGTAACTCTCCAGATAATTGCTGTCTGCATACCTACTGCCTGCCACAATCACATGACAGAATGGCAGTAACTCTCCAGATAATTGCTCTCTGCCTACCTACTGCATGCCATTTATATGACAGGCCAGTAGTACATATATACCTCCCTGCATACTGCTGTCTACCTACTTACCATTTACACTACCTACTAACTAGCTGGGTTGAAGCACATCACTTCAGTAGTCTGGTCAATGATGACATGACCAGTCAAGTTAAGAGGAAAAATTTTATTCTCTAACATTTTCTCATTACTCGTCAAATCAGATCAAAATTGTACCAGATTATTTTGCTCCTGCAAAACTTAACTGGAGAGACCATCTGAAGTTAATTTTAAATTCAGAATTTACAAGCACTGTAGAAAACAGAGATTAGTGAATCAACTTACCAGGCTTGGCTCCAGCAAAGAAGCAGGTGCCTCTCTTAGAGAGCTCCACCTCGAACATGTCGAGCCCATCTCTGATGTCATCAAAGCACTGAGCTAGCACATGCTGATCTCCTTTAGCAAAGTATACTTTATACATAGGAGAAGACACCTGGGGAACAGAAGATTCTGTAAACTCATCTAACTTTATTTAACACTGAGTGAAACAGAGCTAAACAGATATGGAAATATCTAAAAATCTATATAGAGTATATCAAGTGAAATACTGCATACTAAACTGAAATTTATTCCAAAGATTTATATTCATAACATCCATTTAACCATGAATTTCAAATGGATACAAAGCATTAAAAAGCCATATTATTTAAAATGCCAATGAAAATGTACACAAAGGTGTTAAGCAGTATAGAGAGAGACGTACCTTCATAGAGGAGAAGGATGAAGAATACAAGGAGTGAGAAGTGTTGTGAACTGGGTCTAGTGTATGGCATCAAGATATTATGAAGTGTAGTATAAGAGATGAAGTGTTATAGAAGTCAAGGATGTAAAAGTGAGAGAGAAGTGTAATGTGAATGGAGTCAGAAATGTAGTATTAGTTAGGTATGTAGATTTACTCTGATACACTAATGCATATTAAGAAAGGAATAACACAATTTGCATAATATAAAATCTTGCAAGACATGTTAACAATATACCCACCTTGGACCATAATTCAATAAAAACTCTATCATGTGCTTTTTGCCAAGGATCAGCAGGATAGAGAGGAGGCTCTGGGTATGCTTCATTTAAATAATCACAAATAACCATGGATTCAAACATCAGTGCTCCATCTTTCTCTAATGCTGGCACCTTTCCTAATGGGTTCTTCTCAAAAAACCAATCTGGCTTTGATTTTAAGTTGATGTTGACTATTTCGTGTCTGTAAGAAAATTTCAAGTCACATTTCCACTTAATGAAGAAATGGTTGTCCTGTACAGTGGACCCCCAGTTTACGATATTATTTCATTCCAGATGTATGTTCAGGTGCCATTACTGAACGAATTTGTTCCCATAAGGAATCTTGTGAATTAGATTAGTCCATTTCAGACCCCCAAACATACACGTACAAACGCACTTACATAAATACACTTACATAATTGGTTGCATTGGGAGCTGATCATAAAGCGGGGGTCCACTGTATTTTGTTCTACAGTGTTACAATTGTATACACACATACAGTTTTTACATTTTATGAGCATACAATACACATTTTTACACACTGCACTAAGGGTGGAAATTTTTCATGTACAAGTAGTACAGTGGTACCTCATGATACAAACTTATTTCGTTCCAGAAGGCTGTTAGAGTGCTGATACTGAACGAATTTGTTCCCAGAGGGAATAATGCAAATTAGATTAATCCATTTCAGACCCCCAAAAATACACTTACAAAAGCACTTACATAAATACACTTGCATAACTTTTGTGTTTTGAGCTATTCGTATCCCGAGGTACCACTGTATCTGTAAATATTATTTTTTTCCAGTTTAACACTTCTATTAATATTGCAATTAAAATGGAAAAAATTAATGAATATTTCTAGAGAAATACAAGCACTGAAGTAATAAACTTACTTGACATTCTTAGCAGCAATAATAATACGCACACGCTGTGCATATGGACAGTACTTCATGCTATAGCAACGGAGAACTCCTTCTTGCAGGGGAGGACATTCTGAGCCTGTTAGTGAGGAAACAAAAAGCAATCTTTAATGCATGAGTAAATAACTATACTACAGTCAAGAAACAGGACAAGTGTTTCCTGATGCGAGTCTTAGTCATGTGATGACTTGCCACTGGAGCTTCTGGTCATCTGACCAAGGAATTCCAATGGCTTACCAATACACCACTTTCAATACTGATATTCTTACATACACTAATTGCTCTCTTTTCACCACTTTCTCTTATCCAGCATCATACTTAATGATGCCCCTAGAAAGTTAGGATGTGAAAACAATCAACCCGATGCTCAACCATCCCAAAAAATTACAAAAAAAACCTGCACCCATAAAAAATTCTTTAAATAAAATTCCAGAATTCTATTTTTGATACTTAAAGCTATTCTATATGGTGTGATTTTTTTGCAAATGTAATTGAAAAGCACACGAAAAGGCCTTTATAATAACTGATCAATTTTAGATGCACTTTTTCAATTACACGTGAAAAAACTGCATAAATAGAATAGTTTAATAAAAGAGCCGAATATTTTACTTATTGTATAAATTTTAAGTTTCCAGTAATTATTACTTTCTCCCTTCAGCAGGTCTTCCTTCTTAGTTCATATTTTCACCTTCTTATTATACCCATTAATTATGCTAGGAAAGCTTACTTATCAAGTCTTTTATATTTTACTGCCATTTACCAGCTAGTAAATGGCAGTAGGAAGAAGCTCTCAGATCATCTGCATGTGGTGAAGATGTCACTCTCTTCAATGACCTTGTCATTGGGGACTGATGTACCAGAAACCATGGTGACTTATACTTGGGAGGAGTTCCTAGATTATCTCCAAGCCAAGTTGGGCTGGAGCCCACAAGTTGTCTCCATAAGATGGAAATCATTCCTTCAAGCAAGTTTGGCTTGTTGAGATGTAGAGCTAAATACACTGGAGACAGAGATGAATGGAGAAGCAGAATGGATATTGTACCTTTCAGCACAAAATTTCAACTGGCAAGTGTTAGAAAAAACTGATGGAGTGGAGGTTGTAATTGACAATTCCCTAACAGAGGATAGTAGAGACATGTGCAGAAGGACTCACTACTGACGAAAATTCATCATAAGGGATTCTATTCTAACTTGGTGAAGATAGCCAGTTCAACAATGTACAGTACTGTGTAAATAGTCTGTGTATTTTTCTGACAGTCTTTTAAGAACAATGCTCTCTGTTAGCCACTTTTGATTGTTGGGTTGGAAATATTTAGGTGTCAAGGCAAGTGAAAAATGGTCTTTTCTTACAGAAAGTGTACGTAATGGTGAATCCCATGCCCTGAAGCACCATGCCTGTGATAAATTAATTCATCAAATTCTGCCACCTGCCAGGTGACTAAAGTACAGTGTACTTTGATGCAGTGTGTGCAGGTTCAAATCCTGCTGTGGACAGAAATTTTTTGTAAACTTCACTCATTTGTGAATTGTTAATTGTAAAGGTGATATATACATCTGTAACCAGTTTCAAGTTTTCTTACTCTCATTGCCTAGCCTTCTCTATTGATTCCCTGGTCAATTGGGCTGATGCTGTTGGCAGCCCACTGGCCCATATATCCATCACAACCAAGTTGATCTGGCACTCTGTAGAGGTAGTACTCTAGCTTTCTCTTGCAAACTACTGCACTTGTTCTGGCGTCATTTCTGATAACTGCTGGTAGTAGGATGAAGAGTTGAGAACTACAGATGATGATATATTGTTCCATGCCCATGGCTCCCTCCCATATCTCCCACTCCAGTACATGTATATTGTTTTTGTAATGTGTAGGTTTGGAACTAGGCCCTTAAGCATTTTTCAATGTGCAACTGACTCTCATATAATGTGTGTTCCAACAGCAACCTTTTCAATAACACGCGATAATACAATCTTTTCCAATCCCACTTTAGAGAAAAAAAAAAAGCTGTTAACAGCATGCCATGACATGCAGTAAACTGAGAGAAAAATAAGCATCAATCCACATTGCATACCAAATTCCAAAAGAACATGCCATGGGATATTATATTGTCTCACCCTCCATGCTTCAGTTAGTTTATGGATAAGTCCATTGATTTTATGACAGGAGCCTATTGTCACCTGATAATATTAAAGCAGTCTATGTTCTAACTGCCTTATGGTATTATCACGAGTTTGAATCATTTGATCACTTCACCTGGAGTTTACCTGGAGAGAGTACTTTAAGACTGTGTGTGCAAGAAGGAAACCCAGGTCAAGTTTATTTAGTTCTGAATAAATAAGCAATTTTAAAATGTGCTGTCAGATGCATACTGTAATACAGTATCAAATTTTGTGGGAAAGGTGCATTTACTGACCATGCTGCCACCAAGAATTTCCCTGTCCAATTGAAGGAAACTATTTCTGAGGGTGGGTATAAGCCATAGCACGTATTTATTGCCATCTACAACCGACATCAACAAGAGAAAAGTGCACCTAGATTCAAGGCGGCAAAGGATCATTTGACCTTGCTTCTGTGTGCTAATACATCAGGTGATTTCCAATATAACCCTTTGGTTATCACTCAGAGTCCCAGTGGGTTAAAAGTAAAGACAAAAAAACACTGCCTGTTATTTAGCAGTCTTAACAAGAGAGCCTGGATGAGTGAGACACTGTTGAGGGGTTCAAACATAATTTCATTCCTTCAATCAAGATGTGTCTGTTCTAAAAGGATCATTCATTCAAGATTACCAAATTGCTTGATAATTCCCACTGTCATCCTCAAACCTTGCAGTCTACCTTATATGTTAAGTAGTGCAGAAACTCATCACAGCAATGGATGACAACCCAGACAGTGGAGTGCCAGAATCCTGGTGTAAATTAACACTGTAGATGCAATAACCCATGCAAAAGGTAAATGGATGAAGTTCCCCAAACAATAAATGCAGCTGGGAAAAAGCACAGCCTTGTGTACAGGATAATTTTACAGGTTTTTTCCCTGAATAGAAATGTCCAGGAAATTTTGACTCAGGCAAGGACAGTGCCAGGCAAGGGCTCTGAAAACCCAAAATAAGATGACGATGATGAAAAAAACAGCACAAGAAATATTGGAAAAGCTCAATGTTGAGATAGAGGTTAGGCTTATAACAGAAAAGGATGAGGAAGAACCTGAACCTGCACAGATGACACTCTGAGATGTATTATTTATTATTATCACACCGGCCGATTCCCACCAAGGCAGGGTGGCCCGAAAAAGAAAAACTTTCACCATCATTCACTCCATCACTGTCTTGCCAGAAGGGTGCTTTACACTACAGTTTTTAAACTGCAACTGTATACTCTGTAATGCTGCAGACTTTTGCACTAAAAAAAAAAAGGACCTTCACATATCTAGAAGCATTGTTGTGTTGCACACTGGAGCCTTATCATCAGATGTATAAAGAGAGGTTGAGTAAAACAGAACAGAAAGGCATTAGAGAATGCCAGAGAACACCAATACACATACAGTGGACCCCCGGTTAACGATATTTTTTCACTCCAGAAGTATGTTCAGGTGCCAGTACTGACCGAATTTGTTCCCATAAGGAATATTGTGAAGTAGATTAGTCCATTTCAGACCCCCAAACATACACGTACAAACGCACTTACATAAATACACTTACATAATTGGTCGCATTCGGAGGTGATCGTTATGCGGGGGTCCACTGTACTGTCAATATATACAACCATCAGCTATTTACAACTCTGCATTAACATAAGCATATCAACCTCAACCATTCACCTCAGCCCAAAAACCACAACCTTCCACCTCATCCCAGTAAGGAAACACTAACCCTCTCCATGTACTACAAGACCTACAAATGACACTAACCACAATTCAAGGCAAAAAAAGAAAATTGCTTTAGTTAATCTGCATGCCTTTTTTGGAGGTCTCAGGAAAGTAACGTAATTTTTCCTATGCTCTACAGCTCACTTAATACAGATTCCACATAAAATGCAGTTTCCAGGAATTTATCATCAGGTTTCTCAATCTCTTATGCTTCAGAGAATATAAGTTCTTTGATACATTCCCATGCTGTAGTCTAAATGCTATATTGGCTCTATTCAGGCAGTAAATACTCTCTGTATCTTTTCCAACTCTGAAGAGTATTGAATAATAATAACAATAATAATAGTAATATAATAATATAACAATAATAATAATAATAATAATAGGCTGGTAGACAGCAACCATTCGGGAAGGTACTACCGTCCTACCAGGTGAGTGTAAAAAGAAAGCCTGTATTTGTTTTATATGATGGTAGGATTGCTGGTATCTTTTTTCTGTCTCACAAACATGCAAGATTTCAGGTACATCTTGCTACTTCTACTTACACTTAGGTCACACTACACATACATGTACAGGTTTATGTATACACACTCATCTGAGTTTTCTTTGATTTTATCTTAATAGTTCTTGTTCTTATTGCTTTTCCTTTCATATCCATGATGAAGCAGAATAAGAATCTTTCCTCCAGAAGCCATGTGTGTTGTAAAAGTCAACTAAAATGCCAGGAACAATGGGCTAATAACCCCTTTTCCCATATAGCCCACTAAAAAGAAAAAGAAAACTGTCAAAGTGAGATGTTTGAATGTGCGTGTTTGGTGTGCGAATGATAAGAAAGAGATAATTGTGGATGTTATGAATGAGAAGATGGATGTGCTGGCTCTAAGTGAAACAAAACTGAAGGGGGTGGGAGAGTTTCAGTGGGGAGAAATAAATGGGATTAGGTCAGGGGTTACAAATAGAGTTAGAGCTAAAAAAGGAGTAACAATAATGTTGAAGGATAATTTAGGGCAGGAAAAGAGGGAATATAAATGTGTATTCAAGGATTATGTGGAGTCAAACAAGGGTTGGATGTGAAAAGTGGGTTATAGTGTTTATGCACCTGGAGAAGAGAGAAGTATAGAGGAGAGAGGGAAATGTTGAGCAAGAGCATGGGGTGTCAGGGGTAAATGAAAATGGGAAGCCTTTTAATTGAGCTGTGTGTGGAAAGAGGTTTGGTATT